CCTTAGTTTTCCTGTGCTGTCAAGCGTTTACATCGCGAAAAATCAACCATAACAAGGTAAAAATACAAAATATCTTTCGGAATATCACAATAGTATTATTGTGCACGTATACTTTTGTTGGAATAAATATATTTTTCGTATATTTATTCTTCGAAAAATTAATTTTGACATTCAATGAAGACTACAGCTGGCCTTACCGGCAAACCATATAAACAAACCTTGACCAATATACATCACATATATCGGCAATCTATGCAATTTCATGTCAAACTTAGGGACTTTGATGTTTATTTACTACTTTTTAACATAATGTAAACATGTATGGCAAAGCTCGTTTGTATTGTTTGATAACGGCGCTAGTTTGTTTGATAACGGCGTTAGCATCGTTTGAGAACGGTGTTAGTGGCCTCGGAAAATTTTCCGAAACACGGCAACTCTGCCCAACATAAAATATTTAATTTTATAAAAAAATTGATATTACCGATGTATATAAAGGTATTTCTTTTACATAAGGAATAATATTAAGCAGATATTCCTAAAAAGCAATCAAACTCAATTTGTATATAAAATGTCCCCAAAAGTTGAATGTCCCCAAAACTTCCGCTAGATCTATAATTTATCGGGGACTGTCCCCAAAAAACTAAAATGTCCCTAAAAATATCATTGTATCGAAAACATGTCCCCAGAACTATCGCTGGACATATATATATATATGTATATATATATATATATATATATATATATATATATATATATATATATATATCAGCCTGTATCTTCCGACTGATAGATTTTTTGATTGATTCATACAATTTTTCTCAAATGTATATTACATCTGCAGGACTTTTGCTATTGAAAATGGGCCATTTAGGTCCACGATATTCGGTATTTTGATGATTTTAGCGACATTATTCCGGAATTGTTTCAAAGTTGATATTTGAAGTTCGAAATGGATACTACAGTCTAAGACAGAAAATTGTCTGTGCAGGTCCATGTATTCGTACAGGCCCCATATAACGCTACCTTCCGATATTCGGTGCTTTTTGTTGATTTTAGCGACATTATTCACCGAATTTGTTTCAATTTTGGTATTGGATTTTCGCAATGGATACTACAGCCTAAGACAGAAAATTGTCTGTGCAGGTCCACGTCTTCGTAAAGCCTCCATATAAAGGTACCTCCCTGCAGGCTCCTTGCAAAAATATTCTTGAAATATTCCATGCCGATAACCTTCAGGGTCCCTAAAAAATCCAAGTTGAAAGATAACCTTGAAGGTCATTGAAAAAAATTCTCAAAATTACTCCTTGAGAAAATATGCTGAAAAAAATCTACTCTGATATCTTTAAGACGTCTTAAAAAATATTCCCCAATATTCGTAAGAATCTATGTTAAAGGTCCGTGAAAAAATATTCCTAGAAAATTCAAGTTTATATCCTTACCATATCGTTGGCTTTGATGGTTCTTGACAAAATATTCCTAAAAAAAGTGTAGAGAGGAGGAGGGAAAGGAGGTTGGTGGGGGTTGAGGAGGAGAAGAGGGGGCAAGAGCAGGAGAAGATGGGCAAGAGCAGGAAAAATGGGGAAGAGCAGAAGAAGAGGTGGTATTGGATTTTCGCAATGGATACTACAGCCTAAGACAGAAAATTGTCTGTGCAGGTCCACGTCTTCGTAAAGCCTCCATATAAAGGTACCTCCCTGCAGGCTCCTTGCAAAAATATTCTTGAAATATTCCATGCCGATAACCTTCAGGGTCCCTAAAAAATCCAAGTTGAAAGATAACCTTGAAGGTCATTGAAAAAAATTCTCAAAATTACTCCTTGAGAAAATATGCTGAAAAAAATCTACTCTGATATCTTTAAGACGTCTTAAAAAATATTCCCCAATATTCGTAAGAATCTATGTTAAAGGTCCGTGAAAAAATATTCCTAGAAAATTCAAGTTTATATCCTTACCATATCGTTGGCTTTGATGGTTCTTGACAAAATATTCCTAAAAAAAGTGTAGAGAGGAGGAGGGGAAGGAGGTTGGTGGGGGTTGAGGAGGAGAAGAGGGGGCAAGAGCAGGAGAAGATGGGCAAGAGCAGGAAAAATGGGGAAGAGCAGAAGAAGAGGTGGAAGAGCAGGAGAAGATGGTTAAGAGCAGGAAAAAATGGCGAAGAGCAGGAGAAGATGGGGAAGAACAGATGTTATTTGAAACGGAGTTGGATGATTATTTCACAAATTATATGAGATATAATTATTCAAAAGTTTGACCCTTTGTGAGGGAGGTGCCAGACAGGGTAGGCCGAATAGTGAAAATATTGGAATGTGTAAAATTTAAAGGTAATCGGATGCACATTTGTAAGTGTTTTGGTTATTCAAAATTTTGACCCTTTATTAGGAAGGTACCAGAAGGACTGGGCCGATATATTCCAACTTCACACCAGGTCTTGTGTTAGTAGAATTATTGGGATGTGCCCAGTTTGGAAATAATCGGGTGCTGATTTCGCGTTCATAGTTATTCAAAATTATGACCATTTATGGGGGAGGTACCAGAAGCGGTGGGTCTATATTTATCAGCTTTACACCAGGTCTTGCGTTAGTAGAAATATTGGGATGTGTCAAGTTTGAAAATAATCGGGTGCTGATTTCGCGTTTTCATAGTTATTCAAAATTTTGACCCTATGTGGGGGACCGAACCGAAGGAGTGGACCGATATATTCCATTTTCACACCTTATTATATGTTGATAGATATATTTGGATTTGTGTAATTAGAAGATAATCGGATTGTTAGCTCGTATTTTATAAGGGTAATAATTATTCAAAATTTCGACCCTTTGTGCGGTGTGGGAGATCAATGATGGGCTGAGTCGATATTGTCCATTTTGGCACCTGACATAGCCCGGAGACAAGTATGATCCGTTCTTGTTGCATACGGAAAATTATTTTCTGTGCAAATGTTGACCTTTTGGTGAGGGAGGGGCCGGCCAGTAAGAGTGTGTCTCCGGATACCAATCCGTTGGACTATTGCGTCTGCTGGAGTATTTTGGAAAGCAAGGTTGGCACTTAAAAATACCAAATTGTCGATCACATCAAGTAAGCGCTTCGCTGGGAATGGGCCAAAATACCGCAGAGCAATATTCGGGCAGTGTGTGACGGTTTCATTGGCCGTTTGAAGGCCATAATTCTAAACTTATTTTAAAATTTGAAGCTATTTCGGACATTTTTGGTTTCATTCAATAAATTTAAAAAAAAAAAAAAAAACAAGTTAAAAAGCAGTAAGTTCGGCCGGGCCGAACTTTTAATACCCTCCATTAATTGCAACGAATTTGGAAATTTTTAAAAAATAAAATCCTTAAAAAATTCTGTTAAAATTTTAAAAATACCGAATATAGCCGTTATATTGGGGTCTATGGAGGAGCTGTGCGAAGACCTGGACCAGCATAGACAATTTTCTGTCACAGGCTGTAGCATCCATTACGAACTTCAAATACCACATCTCAAACAATTTCGGTGGGTATTGTACCTAAAATCGTCAAAATACCGAATATAGGGAGGTACCGTTATATGGGGGCTATATGAAGACGTGGACCTGCACAGACAATTTTCTGTCTTAGGCTGTAGTATCCATTTTGAACTTCAAATACCAAATTTGAAACAATTCCCGTGAACAATGTCGCTAAAATCATCAAAATACCGGATATCGAGAGGTATCGTTAAATGGGAGCTATACGAAAACGTGGAGCTACATGGCCCATTTACGAACTTAACCTGCCTACTGGAAAAATAAACATGTGTGCAAAATTTTAGCCATCTATCTTAATTCATTCGAAAGATAGATGATTACAACAGACAGACGGACAGATAGACAGACAGACAGACGGACATCGCTAAATCGACTTAGAATTTTACGCTGATCAAGAATATATATACTTTGTTGGGTCTGACATGAGTATTTCGAGGAGTTACAAACGGAATGACAAAGTTAATATACCCTCCATAGTATGGTGGAGGGTATAATAAAAATTATGGCGTTTGACTTTGTTGCAGTTTTTTAACTCGCCCTGTATATACCCTCTGTATGTGTAGTCTTGAAGGTCCTCCAAAAATATTCCTTAAAAAATCCACGCCTGTTGGTCTTTAAAAAACTACATCGTCTTTTTACGAATGGATAGATGATATTCGGATATTTACCTAAATATATACTCAGCCTTTATTTTTTGAATATTTCGTAGGAAACTCGCCCTCTGTACCCATATACCCTCTGTGGGTGTAGTCTTGAAGGTCCTCAAAAAATATTTCTTAAAAAATCCACACCTGTTGGTCTTAAAAAAGCCATATATTCTTAAAAAAACTACATCGTCTTTTTACGAATGGACAGATGATATCCGGATATTTACCTACATGTATACCCAGCCTTTATTTTTGGATATTTGGTAAGAAACTCGCCACGTTGTGTGTTATTCTCGATAGTTTATGATGGCACAACAATATTTGCAAAATTATTGGGAAAATCCAACGCCTATGTGTAGGTATGGTAGGTATTTACCCGGGTCAACGATTCGTCTCTATAAATTGGTGCTCCCATTTCAAGCGACGTACATTTTTTGGTCGTTGGCCATCGCGTCGCTACGTTTCGCATTTAAGAATGAACGGCAACAGCACAAATACCTAACATCATACTGCAAACATGTTGCGGCTCGTCGCGTGGGTTCGTTTGCAACGACAACGCTGGTTGTGGCCGAATTCGAGCAGGAAATTAATGTTTATAGAGTTTCCTTTAGAACAGTTTTGTGCAGACAGCAGCGATGGTGATAACGGGATAAACAGAAAATCCAACATTCGTGCGTGGAAGAAAAATCAATTCTCCTGCGGTCGGTCGTGATTTCTATTGTTGTTATTATTATTATTATTGTTGTTGTTATTCTTGTGTTGTGTTTTTTTCTCTTCCTTCCATGTCTATGAATTTTCGGTCAATTCTTAGTTTTTTTAAAAAAAAAGAAAGAAAAGAAAAAAGAAAAATAATTATAAATATTTTTACTTTAATTTGAAAAAAAAAACATCCTGAAAATCCCGAAAAGAGAAAAATTGAAAAAAATATCAAATCAAAAGGACAACAAAAGAAAAGCAAAGAAAAAAAGTCGTTTTACCTATACAGGAATTTCGGTTTGTGTCCCAGAAATCCGAGAAGGAGAAACTTCTCTTTGTTGGCATTATTCGTTTATCCATCCACATCCATTCATTCCATCAGTCGCGTCGGTGGTGCTGGTGGTGGCAGTGCGTGAAACAATCCAATTCCAAAACGTATTTGGCTGGTGGTGGTTCTCCAAAACAAAAAATCCAATAAGAAAAGCAAGCAATTCTTGTGCGACGGAACGAGAGAGAGCGGAGCAATCTCCTGGCGGGGTGGTGTAAAGAGTGTAAACGAGCAAGCCAACCAACAAACATAATCCCCCCACCCCCAAGCCAAAGTTATGCTTCATTCCTCTTCAAGCAATGCCCAAAAATAGTTTCAAATAAAAACCAGCAAAAAAACCCCAACCGAATTTAAATGCGGTTTCGTTGACCGGCTTTTATAATTTCCGGTTAAATATCTTTTTTTTCCATGTAAGTGTGACATTGTTTTATTACATTTTTAGTAATGTTTTTATATTTTTTTATGTTGTAGTTATGTAGTGTTTGAAATAAGTGAGAAACAAAAAGAACGTATCATCGTCTGCTGTTTGTTACCAGTTTTTTTGCTTCTTCGTCTCATCCATTCAAGTTGCAGAATTGGTGTGAAATCAATCAGTTCCGCTTTGCAACTTTTTTCATGTTGTACATACATTGTATGTACAGTGGAACCCTTCTACAATTACTCGGAAGGTTCAAAATTAAGGGATATTAGAAAATATCCATTAATTTTGAACATCCAGAGTGTTGGGATATGCCAGCACGTGATTCATCCAGAACCTTAAAATATGTGCGTCTGAGACCCCATTAAGATATTCTTGATCAGCATAGAATTATAAGTTGATTTAGTTGAAATGGAAAATACACTACTTTATGTAGAGCTATTAAATTTGTCATCAAATTTGTCGACACCTTGCGACTTTAGATATTTCCAACCCTGTGTGGAAAAAATCTAAGCTAAAAAAAAAATAAATAAGTAGATCTTAGATTTTCGCATGTTTTTATCATTTATCAGATTGAACCTACATTTTGTATTTATTGATTGATTTTTATATCCCAGGTCTCTTTGGACCAAATTTAGAGTCTATCTAGCGATGTCGGTCCGTCTGTCTGTCTGATGCGATTTGGTCTAAACATGGTACATCATAATATTATTATCAAACTTATATCGAATTCGGAAATGGACAATGTCGGTCCACTCCTTGCACAACCCCCCCCCCCCCCCCCCCAAAAAAAAAAACGTCGAAATTTAAAAAAAATAAAATTAAAAAGTATCAATCGGTTTTGCCGACAGATGTATACCCTCAGCCAATGTTCGATTACTTAAATATATTTTGACTTCTGTTATGATTATTCAAATTGTTGACCCTCTATGGCGTAGGTTCCGAAGAATCGGCCAATATTGTATTTCGACGTGCCAGGTTAGGACTACATTGGTTACTTTCTTTTCTTTATATGAGATAAGTTAAAAAATATTAAAATGTGCGGGAGTTACAAGAAGTCTTCCATTTGATACCCTCCACCATACATAGGAGGGTATGGTGGAGGGCATGGAGGGTATATATAACTCTGTCCGTCCGTCTATCCGTCTTTTGTAATTACGCTAGAGCCAAAACGAATTAAAATAGAAAGCTAAAATTTTGCGCAGTTCAGTCTTTTGTCTGCCGGCAGGTCAAGTTCGAAGATGGGCTATATCAATAAACGATATCATATAGCCCCGGTATAAGTGAATTGTCTGTAAATCCACAAAAGGAGTTCTTTCTAAATACTTTACCTCATGGAAGAGAATTGTCTATATAGGTCCATCGTATAGCCTCCATACAATGGTACCACCCGATATTCGGTATTTCGATGATTTTAGGGACATTATTCACTAAAATTGTTTAAAATGTCTTATTTGAAGTTCCTAATAGATACTACACATACATACTACCTATGACCAAAAATTGCGTACGCAAGTCCACGTCTTCGTATTGCCCCCATATAATGATACCTCCCGATATTCGATATTTTGATGATTTTTACGAAATTACCAACCGGAATTGTTTCAAATTTCTTAGTTGAAGTTCGTAATGGGCACTATAAAGTATGACAAAAAAGTGTCTGTGTAGGTCCACGTCCTCCCGATATTCGATATTTTGATGATTTTAGCGACATTTCTAACCAGAATTGCTTCCAATTTTGTATTCAAAGTTCTGTAACTGGGTACTACAACCTATAACATACGATGGCGTAAGATACCTCCCGACATTCGGTATAATGATGCTTTTAGCGGTATTATTCACCAGAATTATTTCAAAATTCGTAAACGAAATTCGTATGAAAGAACACGTCTTCGTATAGCCCCCATATAATGATACCTCTCGATATTCGATATTTTGATGATTTTAACGAAATTATCAACCGGAATTGTTTTAAATTTCTTAGTTGAAGTTCGTAATGGGCACTATAAAGTATGACAAAAAAGTGTCTGTGTAGGTCCACGTCTTGCTATCATTTGAAAAACATTTTTCTACGGATTTTTTTGACATTTTTCAAGTTCCTTCAAAATGGTGGAGGGTATTAAAAGTTCGGCCAGGTCAGGCGAATTTAGCTAGTTATTTACTTGTTATTATTTATCTGATTGAAGCCACATTTTATATTTATCAATCGATTTTTATATCCTCATCCATATGGCTAAAAAGAGGTATATATCATTTGATACGGTCAAAACTTGCCTTATCGAAATAACGGTTTAAGACTCTAGCTCTCTTTGGGCCAGATCCGTTTCAGGACATTTGAAATCGATCTAGCGATGTCCGTCCGTCTGTCTGGCTGATGCGCACGATAACTCTCAAAGAGAGTATCCGATTTGGTCCAAACTTGCTACATCGTAATGTTATTAGCGATTGCCTTCAAATTACACACATTCCATTATTTTTACTAACACAAGATCTGATGTGATGGTGGGATATATCGGTCAACTCCTTCTGGTACCTTCCCCATAAAGAGTCAAAATTTTGAATATCCATGAAATTAAGAAAACTCGAAAATAAATTCCGATTCTATTCAGATTTGTCACATCTCAATATTTCCATCAACAAAAGATATGTTATAAATGTGCTAGAGATCAGACCATTCCTTCTGGTACCTCCCCCACAAAGGGTCAAAGTTTTGAATAACCAAAACGATTATTAAATCCAAAATAAGTATCGGGTTCTTTTCATTTTTCACACATCCCATTATTTCTACTCACACAAGATCCGATGTGAAGATGGGATAAATCAGTGTGCTACTTCTGGTACCTCCCCCACAAAGGGTCAACATTTTAAATATTCATGAATCTTATACAACGCGAAATTAACATCCGATTCCATTCAGACTTGGTGCATTTCAATATTTCCATCAACACATGATCTGTTATAAACATGGTAGAGATAGGGTCATTTCTTCTGGTACCTCCCCAACATAGAGTTAAAGGATTTGAAAAATAAAACACTTAAAGAGAAAGAAAGCAAAATAAACATCCAACTCTCTTCAAATTTCACCCATCCAAATATTTTTAGGATCTGTTGTGAAGATGATATATTGCTGCCAACCCCTTCTCGAACATGGAATACTTCGGTCCGCTATATCTCTTACCTCACGCATATTTTTACATTTTCCAAGAATTTGCACATATATCAAAGTATAGGACGTAGTCGATATAGTCCAAATTTGTCACGTTGTCTTAGGTCAGATACGAATAGGCCAACTGCTTCGGTCAACAATTTGAATAATCTGTCGGCTAAATCGTCTGATACTACTTTACTTGTTATTTTTAAACCTTCTTATGATAGCCAATAACTCCATATTGTACCTGTAAGCAAGTGTCCACTGTTAAATGCTCACGCATCACGTGTGTATACACGCACAACTTGTTTGTGGGAGTTTGTACCTGAATCAAACCGCCAACCCAAACAACCGCCCAACAAATTTGCTGATACTGACCATGGTTGCCGTTCTTTAAGGAAATTCAAAATGCTATTAAGGGGTTTAATTTATATGTTGTATTAAATAATACAATTTTAACCAGTAAAGAAGAATCGGGCGGGCCGACTTTATGATACTTTTATGATATGATCTCGTTCTCGTTCTCTCGTTTTCCTAGTTACCCATATAACGTTTTTATGTGGAATTTGTGAGAATAAAATTCTACTGCCTATTATAATAGTTACAATTGAAAGTCAAAAGGAATTAATATATAGAAGGTATATTCTCCTCTGAATCGATTTTTACTAAATTTGCGGAGGCATTCATGTCTGAACTGATATTCATTAAAATCCATCCTATTTGAGTTGGTAATACACTTTTTAGGCTCGATAAACGTTAATTCCGATGAAGATATGTATGGGAGCTATATCCAAAATTTAAATCGGTCAGTGTAAAATTTAGCAGAGGTAAACTTAATATCTGATATATATTGCACTTTTTAGGCACAATAAACGTTAAACTGGATGAAGATATATAAGTGGGAGCTATATCCAAATCTGAACCGATCTCAGTGAAATTTAACAGATGTATTTCTATGCTCTATGTGATTGCTGGTACCAAATATCATTGTTGTAGAGAGAGCATTATGTGGATGATAGGGACTTAAATACAAAGTCGGATGAAAAAGATATATCGGACCTATATCTCAACCGATTTTCACCAAATCTTTAATTCGTTCGTATGTGCCAAAATCTATTCAATTCGGGATTATATTAACCATTTGGTGCACAATAAACTTAAATTCTGATATAGATACATATGGGAGCTATATCCAAATCTGAATCGATATCGGTTAAATTTGGCAAAGGTATTTCTGAGCTGTATTTGATATATTTTCCCTAATAACGTTGTTACGGGGTGCATATTACGTCTGTGGAAGACAAAAATAACTAATCGAATGAACAATATATATGGCAGCTATAGCTATATCTGAACCGATTTTTATCTCCTTTGTCACGCTTGTTTCAAGGCTCGATTTGGTCGGTTCTGCAAGATTCCAAGATTCTAATTTGGACTTATATAACACATTTGGTGCACAATAAAAGGCAAAGATACATATGGGACGGAAATATATATTGGAGATATATCTAAAATTCTGACCGATTATCTCCAATTTCAATAGGGTTCGTCCTTGAGTTAAACAAATGATTTGTGTAGTATCTATTACGAACTTCAAATACTAAATTTGAAACAAATTCGGTAAATAATGTCATTAAAATCATAAAAATACCGAATATCGGGAGGTACGGTTAGATGTTGGTTATACGAAGACGTGGACCTGCACAGAAAATTTTCTGTCATAGGCTGTAGCATCCATTACGAACTTCAAATACCTAATTTGAAACAATTCCGGCTAATAATGCCGCTAAAATCAACAAAGTACCGAATATCGGGATGTACCGTTATATGGGGGCTATACGAAG